CTCCACCTCCTGCTCCTACAACAAAGCACAGTCTCTTTTCTTCGCTAGAGCATTCTGTGGGCTTGACCGATCCCCTCTGGGGGTTTCAAGACAATAACGCCCATCTCACAGTCGGTCTATGCAACAACCATGCCACCGCTTTCGCCAGCAGTGCAGGCAGTCCACGCCCCAGGCCTAATTGACTTCCGGAAGCCAGCCGAGTATCCCATTGTCCTTGGCGAATCTCTCAAGAACGGCTCGTCGTCAGCCAGTCATTACATCGACTTGCAATTCAACTGGCAGCCTAAGGCAGGGTTTGGCGATGCTGACAGCAGATTACGACGTGCCGATGATGGTTACCGGCTCAATATCGACAACGCGATTGCTCCGGATGTGGCTTACAGATACACTGGTCACGACCGGCAATTGAGCAGTGATGGTAAAGAAGTCGATTCATTCGCCCTCGTCTTCGACAAGGAGAGGTCTGTCTTCGTTCTGGAGACTATTGCTCATTCGATCGACCTCAATCTCGAGGCCGCTCCCTCACAATCAAAGGAAGATGTCCAACGTCTACCTCAATTGACCAAGACATCATCTACAAGCAAGGCTCCCTCGAATAAGCCACGCGACAATGACGACCCCGATCCGGACAATCCGTTTGACTTTCGAAACTTCATGGATGAAGCGAAGGAGAACACCGAGAAGGCCGCCGGCTTCAAGAGCCCACTGCCCGGAAGCAGAACACCAATGAGCGGCTTTGCAAGTCCTGCTATGGGAGCTACTCGCTTTACACCCACCATAGCTCAAAGCCTGCCCCGAGAGCCAAAGGTGGTACAAAGCAAGCCAAAAGTAGAGCCTATCAAACGCAAAGCCAAACCGGTGCGAGACAGCAAACCTGCAAGACAATCGAATCAGCCACTCTCCAATGAACGAATTTCCGACTCAGATGACGAGCTCAGCGACGCTCATGTCATCAGCAGATAGCAGGACTTCCAAGATCCACGCACGCAACATCTCCACCAACATCGGTAGCACGCCAGACATTGTCGTCAACGACGATGATGACGACATTCTCAAGATGGATCAGGACTCGCCACCGCAGCAAGCGACGAAGCGCAAGCGTCGTATTGACCCGGAGATCTTCCGTAGCCATACCAGTACGCCAGTCCTTGGACAAAGTCCGCGTGTCGCCCAGCAGCAGCAGCGACCGCGGGACCGAGATGTCGAGATGAGGGACGTCCGCGAGGATGATGACGTCGATGAACTCGAGCTAGGCAGTCCGAGGGCACACAGGTCTGCGACATCGAGGCAAAGCAAGCATACTAAGAAGGCTGCCGACCGAGACCACGACATAGCTCCCACACCGCCGAACCAGAATGTGAGCGAGGATGATGAAGTTGCTGAGTTGGAAGATCTGTTGGGAGGCGACGATGACGCCGATACAAGTGTTGGTTTGGGATTGGGCATTACTACTGGTGGCAGTGCGCCAGCGGGTGGTGACGACGATAGTGAGGTCAGCGAGGAAGAATGATGGAGTTCAGCATGATGGAGCAGCTCGATCAGCTTACGAGCTACTTAGTCCCAAATCCTGTATGAATGAGCAAAGTCCGCCTGGTAAGTATCCTATCTAAGATTTTTAGTCACCTGAGACGTTCATTCGGACCAATGCCATCACCATCATCACGACTTCCTCTCCGCATCAACCCTTCTGCTTCCTCTCCCACCTCCCCGCCACTTGCCCTCTCGTGCAGCTCCATTCCCGCCCC